AAAATTGTTTTAGAAGAGGTGTACAAATCCATATATAGACATTAAAACTTTAAAAGTATTGCACACAGGTCCTTCATATAATATCTGGAATTGGATAAAGTTTTTTTTTAATCCCAGGGTTGAGTGACCCTCTTGGAAAAAATGTATAACTGCGTCTTCTGATTTTTTTCCAATTAAATATTTGGTTTTTTTGTTTTTATACAAATTAAATAACTGAGTTCACAAAAAAATATCAATATAAAGAGATAAAATATATTGAGGAGAGAGAGTGGGGAGAGTGGGAAGGGAGGGAGAGAGAGAAAGACTGGGGTAGAGAGATAGGGGAGAAAGGGGAGGGAGAGAGGCTGAGGAGAGTGGGAAAAGAGGGAGAGAGAGAAGTGGAGGGAGAGAGAGTGGAGAGAGAAGAGAATGACAGTGGAGGGATTCCATGGGGAGAGAGAGGGGGAAAGGAGAGAGAGTGGGGAGAGAGAGAAGAGAGATGAAAGGAGAGAGAGAGAGAGAGTGGGGAGAGGGAGACAGAGAGTGGAAGGAGAGAGAGTGTGGAGAGGGAGATAGAGAGTGGGGTGTAGAGAGAGGTTGGAAATGTTCAAAAGAAGGAGAGAGAGAGAGAGAGAGGGAGAGAGACAGAGATGGAAGGAGAGAGATGAGAAAGAATTATGTATTCTTGCGAAGAAAGGAGGGAGAGAGAGAGTGGAGAGAGAGGTGAAAGGGAGGAAAGAAAGTGGATTGAGAGACGGAGTGAGAGTGGGGAGAGAGAGCAGACAGAGGGGGAAAAGGGGAGGGAGGGAGAGAGAGGGGAAAAGGAGAGAGAGTTTGAAGGGAGAGGCAGAGAGTGGAAGGAGAGAGAGGGTGGAGAGGGAGATAGAGAGCGGGGTGTAGAGAGAGGGTGGAAGGGAGCGAGGAGAGGCGGTTAGGGGGAGAGACAGTTGGGGAAGAAAGCACCAAAGTGTTTAGTTGAATACATGTAATGTTTTTATTTATTTACAAAATTTAACCAAAAATCGAGTTTATTTAATATTTTGTGATCGTTGCTTTCAATGACATAAATTCTTAAACATTTTCCCAGGTTATCGAATTAATCTTGATAAAGATATAATAGTGCATCTGCTACTTTGTAATAAATTGCATTGATGCCAAGGTTTACCGGAGACGCAGGCTATGAGTAGTATGATGAGAACCCAGGCTGGTATTTTTTTTTCAAAAAAGGAAGAGGGAGGGATCCTTAACAAATCTGACCAGAATGATAGAAAAAAGTACCCAAAGGAATAACCACTTTCAAAAGTACTGTCATTTCTGGCATATTTTTAAATTAAATCTTCAACATGACGTTGCAGATTTTATTTTAAAATTATAATATCTAAGTAATTATGAAAAATATATGTGTCAACATTCAAGCTCAAAGTCCATAAAACATAGAAAAATTTCAAACAAACACGGATACATCAGAGGTGGGACCAGGTACCATAAAATTGGAAATCGCAGTGTGCTCCTTGTCATGATCGGTAAATAACGGATATATTCGTCATGAATTCCGTGTGTAAATAATGGACTAAAGATTGGTATGAAAAACGTTAGTCACAGGCAGTAAGTGTTTTCTAACATTACCTTTACGTATAGAAAATTTTTGAAAATTTTGCCCCCCCACTTTTTCATAGTATATACAAAGCAAGAAAAATAGGAAAAAATTGGAAGTGAAATAAAGGGCGCTTGAAAAATGTTGGCCCTACCCCCCCCCCCCCCCCCCCCCCCCCCCCCCCAGGATTTTCGAGTTTGGGTAAGTTTCAATTTTTCCTTTTTTTTTTTTTTTTTTTTTTTTTTGCTTGTCAACTTTTTTTAGGTAAAGAAAAAAAAACCTCACAACCACTTTCAAATACGATCAATCATCAGCATTTCAAAGATTAATTGTATTATTATTTTGCTGACAAGGTGCTTTTTTAATGAATTTAATAATGAATTTTAATAATTTGGCAAATCACCAATGAAAAGGTAAGTAAATTTACATGATGTAATTTTATAGTTTAATCCTACAATGAAAAATATAATTATATTTTTATTGAGTTAACAAGAGAGGCTAACTTCGCGTATTTATAAGCAATGATTTGCAGCTCATATGCATGGGTATTGGCTTTAAAATGCAAATATGAAAATATATTCCCTATGACCTTTCACCCTAAAAAAAACACACACAACGGTGTAGGTGTAACGCCGAAAAGTGCATATTACACAAGAAACTGTTCAGTCAGGACAATATTTCATATGACTTTCATTAGCTGCAGATCTGTAGCGTTATGGTTTTATACACTTGTCTTTGACCATAACGTACGATCCCGTAATGCAAAAAAAAAAAATATGACAATATTTTTTGCGGATCAAATTTCTACGACAAATTTGGTTGTTTTCTCTAATTCTTGAGGCATTCTGTTATGTATATATTCATCCAACTTTGAAAGTGTTCTACATGCAATTAACTCGCTTGAAGTGAATTTTCAGCAATCTAACAAATAATTTTAATTAAGCGAGTCACTTGTCAGTAACAATATAAAGGGTTTGTAACGCTGTATTTGATTGGATAAAAAATTAGTTCATATCAATATAAAATGGGTTGCCAAAAGTCAAAAAAATGACTTTCATCAAATAATGTACAGCGTTATGGTCAAGGTAAAAATTTAAAATATCAAAATTTTAAAACCTGTCCGGAAATTTGAAAAAGTGAAATAGGAGTTTGGCACGATTTTGGCAATATGTACGTAATTAAAGTTAAGAGCAGATGATTAATACATTCAAAGGTGTAAAAATAAATTGATCCATTCAGTGATATTAGTGTTTGAATTATGCCAAGTTTTGACTTTTTGCTGTCAGTTTGGTTTCGTTATCGTACTTGAAAGAGTCGACATACTATCATAACAAAATTTGAAGTAAAAATAAGATTCTAAAACATTTTATGGATTTGCACTATTCGGCTTAGAGAGATAGCAGATACGAGCGCTGAGGATAAAATAAATCTACTTACTGGTATATAAAAAGATGGATTTGGTTAAAGAAATTAAAGATGCAGGGGGTAGCTTAACTTTAAATGCGTTAATCCCAGAGATAAATCATTTGTCGGACAAAGATAACGAACGCGAAGCTCTAAGGATAAAACATGAAACATTAAAACTGCACTGACGTCATCTAAATTTTTTCCTATTAAATTTTTGGTGGTGCATTTATACAGGTAAAATTATTTTGTAGACTTGCGCGCGTTTTGTTAACATTATTTAAATTTTCAAATGTAATTATTAAATATATATTATATATTATAATAATAATTTTTGAAAAATTATTTATTGAAATTATAAACTGAAATATATTGCCCTCACTTTTTTTTTGTTCTTGTCACATTAATAAAGTTTGCGAACATATATTTTTCCACAAATTTAAAAGGAATTTAATAAGAAAGTTATTGAAATTGAGCCATCCCGGTACCTCCACAAGCCAAGCGAGTTTACGCAATTTCAAGTCCTTTTCATATATCAACAAAAAGAAAATCATTCTTCTTTTGTTCGAAAAGTGGTGGAGAAATGGGACCTTTTTATAAAAAAGGACTAGCTGTTAATAACCACAGTTAAATTTAAACCCACAATTTGCTTAAAAAGTTCTCTCTCTCTCTCTAGAAGTACGTACACAAATACGCAAGCAGTTAACAACGCCTCATTAGGATTATGCGTAACAATCACATATCCTTTGGTGAGTTTTGTGTTACTTTCATGGAAGCCTTGCAATGCGACAGTGGCTAGCTGTTGATCTTAGAAAAACTGAAATACTTTTACGATGCAACAAATGAAAGGACGCGTGTGTGCAATTTTTTTCACACAAAACAACATTCTATATCAAAAGTAAGTTTGATATGTACTCTAACAAATACTAAAAGCTTGTTTAAAATAAATTTTGAAAAAAGATATTGGACATTTTTGTAATCATTTTTGTACCCATTTTTTCATAAATTCATTCGTTGTTTCTTCATTGATTATACCCCTGCTTGACAAAAAATTTGCATAATTTGATGTCCGTCCGTCTGTCAAAACCCCGTGATACGCTTTAGGGTACCCATTTCTTATCCACAACTTTTTACCACTGAATGAAATTTAATGAGGCTTCACAGAATTTTAATGAAACTTTCACAGAATCTTTGTTAAAAATTAACTGTTTTTATTTTTTGATATGGCACATAAGGTACCTTAGCATACCATGGATACTGTCTTTCTTTCTAATATTGAAGGGTATATCGATTTTGGTAATTTGAATTTTAATAAAATTTAATGATACTATAAGGATTCTTTAAAAATTGCCATTGTACATGTGATTAACTTTTTGATCTGACACTTATTTTAAGAACCTAGGAGGCGTGAGGTACATGTATCATTAAGATTTTTGTAAGTTTTCTTTAAAATACAAATAAAATTTAAGCAATTAATTTAACTTTTCAATTCCAGTAATGTGTAGTATATTTGTTAATTTGAAATTTAGAAATTTTAATCAATTCGTAACTTGTAAAAAAGACACCTATGTTAACTTGCGAAAAATTTTTTGAAGAACTTTTATTAAACAATATTTAATTCAACAACTGAGAAATTGACAAAAAAAAATTTTGAAATAACGTATATTGATAGCACCGCCAATCCCCAACTGGTCAAATAACTGTAAAATACAAATACCAAATCAGTTTGAATTTTTGAAATTTAAAAATTTTAGGCTAATTAATACATTAATTAACAAGAGAGAGAGAGAGAGAGAGAAAGAGAGAGAGAGAGAGAGAGAGAGAGAGAAAAGAGGTAATCAATCGTACAAGTTAGCTAATACATGTTCCGACTCTTTGGTGAAAGAAGTTATAAAAAGAATGTTACTTTCATTTTCGCCCAAAGCAAGTGGGCTGGTCTCTGTCATTTTTAGTTGTTTATTTTTCTCTACAGTTAATATTAACCAACATTACTTATTATCATTACAGTGATTGATTGCAAGTTACAAAATTATCATATTTTTTTGAAATCTTTATTAAAATACAGATATCGTGATGTTTTGAAAACATGGAAGAGTAGATAACACTTGAAAAGGAGGAAACTCGGACTGTAAACAAGGTAGAAGAAATTTATAATTATCATGAGTATATATTTTTGACTGCATGTGTTCTGTCGAAAATTATATTGATTTTTCATAAGGTTTCGTTGTTGTTTTATCATATGATTTGATTATGAAACTTTGCACAGGCATGGACAGTGATTGTTATAACTTGTGCGAAAAACTTGTGCCCAAGAGCTACATTCAGCAAGGCAGGAATGCAAAGACTGTCCATCAAAGCAAAATCAAACATCTCCTAGAACAGGTAAAATTTTATATTAATATTTTTCTCACAGTATGGCCTCTGTTAGAAGAAATTTGTATATAGTAATCTTTAAACAAATCTGTTTATATCCTTGTTTAAATGCCTCTTTCATCTCAGAGGATTCTAATATCAGCTATAAAATTGCTGTAAATGAAAATCAATCATATCTGTGAAATCCAAATAGAGTCATAGTAGAATGATCTTTCAAGTAATTTGAGTAAACATGCATAAAATAGAGCAATGGAAAAAGCTATTGTTTCTATTTAAACATCTTCGCTAGCCAAGGGTTTCTGATACTCTACTCTCCTCATAAACCCTTGCCATACGGTGTTCATAGAAGTTTTTAATTTTTCAATGATTTTATATGACCAAAGCAGTTGTTTTTTGTAAAAAATATGCTCGGGAAAAAAACATCTTTAATCTCTTGAACTTTTTATGTATATAAAACAACTATCCGTTAGATAACATGCGATTCTATGAATAGAAATGGTGTCATCCAATATCTTTCTGTAATTGTGATTAAGAATCTATATTGAAGTTTCTGATTTGTACTATAAATAATGAATAAACACAACTCAATTGCTTCTTAAATATTCTTGAAAAAAAACTTTGATTTAATTTTTTTAAACATGCGTCTTTATTTCTGTCAATGACACAATAATTATTTGCATGTGTGAACTAGAAACATGAGAAAATCCTGTCTTTTGACTTCAACCTATGCCAAGGGGTTATGAGAAGAGTAGCGAATCAGAAACCCTTGGCTAGCGAAGATGCTATTTAAAATAATTATTTGCATGTACGTGTGAACTAGAGAATTGGTCAAGAACATGAAGAAGTAGCACAAAAGTCTAAGATAATATGATTTCCTGTTTACCACTAAATCAATCTTTCATACGAATTTCTACAGTAATTTGTCATTTACATGTAGCATGAATTTGAAAGTTTTGTAATGGGGATTGTGTACAATACATTGACCCGATAGCTCAAACAGTGTTAGTCCATGTATATGATGACCGGGAAATCCCATGTTCAAGTCTCAGTCTGGTCAACATTTTCCCCCGCCTTTTATAGCTATATTTCCACATTTTCCAGAAATACTCCATCAGATGTTTCAAAAAGAAACCAAGAATAAGTATCAAAAAATACTAATCTTTTGATAAGTAATGTATTTTTTTATAGTACATATCAGTCCCTATAAATACAGCTGTCCTTTCAATTTGTATTCTCATTTACATCCAGTTACTTAAAATCATTTTACATGTTATGTGTATTTGATATCAAGCACAATTTAACCCAGATTAATGTTTTTGCTGCACATAATTTGTGTGCAAACAACACAGGCAGCTTACATCTGACCTATAGATAAATATATGTACATGTTATCTATTTCTTTAAAAGAAACTAAATGTTTTTCATTAACATTACCCAAATATGAATGATCTAACTAATACCATGATTAATATTTTGTAGAGAAGAATTCCTGAGGAGGGTTGGGATGATCATACCATTGAGTTGTTCCTCAGTGAGTTGGCCATAATGGACAGTAACAACTTCCCGGACAACTGTGGTGTGGGGGAGAGAGAAGCAAGAATTTTTTCTTCTCTTGTCAGCAGACGACATTTCAGGTCAGAAGAAAGTGCATTTATTCATCATGGTTGATAAGGCTATGGATTTTATTTTTTGTGTGAGAAATACAGTTTTTCTCTTAGAATTCTTTCTTTATGTCTACTTCGTTCATCATGTTTTCTGCTCTGATACTGAATCACATGCTTTTTCACTAAGATGGACAAAATCATATATGTATTTTAAAAATTAAAAAAAAAAATACAACATAGAGAGAAATCTTGAAATACTTCAGTCTTTGATATTCCAATGAAAAAACAATTAGTGGACGATCAGCTATATTTAAGGTTAGTTAAAGAAAAGCTAAATTATATAAACAGGCACAAAAATTTTTTGTCACAGTACTGCTAGGTGAATTTTCTCGAACAAGACTGATGAATATAATAATTCTGAACAAAATCTTCCATGTTTTTTAAGAATATTTGTTTTCAATGAACTCATGGTTGAATGTTCCTATTGAATTGTCTTTTAAGGCAAAATATCCAGGGAAAAAGATTGGTACTTCCTTAATTAATGTCATTAAAAAGCTGAAATATATTTTACAAGAAATACCCTGATAGATATTTTGAAACATTTTAGACTTGGTCATGGAATAGGCAGATCAGGAGAGATAACTGCTGTTCAACCCAAGGCAGCTGGCTCCAGCGTGTTAATGACTCTGACAAACAGTCTGGCCCTTCATGCTATCAAACTCTCAGGTAATATACTGGTACATGCAGTGTATTTATTGAAGTTAAGATTATTATATTCAACACATCATAATACATGTAATGATTTGAATTCAAACAGAAATGTATCAAAATCAATTCATCAACGTGAATACATTGTACATGTATAGAAATGTGATTTAAAAACTTTGCCCTTTTTATGCAGTAATATTATCTTTTAATGAATCATAAATAAAATATGAGTGAATATTTTGTTTTTGTTGTTTAAAAAAAAACGAAAAACAGCAGGCTTTTATGGCAATGCATGCATAATTTACTTTTGATTTACCTTTCATCACACTTTTTTATCTATTTTTACATAAACATGTATTCTGTGAATCAATTATTCTTCATTGCTTTTAACTATCTTGTAAAAGAAGTTAAATGTACGTGTTCTTTTGTTTTATTTTGTTTAAATTTCAAGAGAAATCTTGGACCATTCAATCAATAAATCATACAAATTATTATATTTTGTTCTAATTCAGGAATTCAAGCTAGCAGTTGTTTTGTTGTTCCGATGGCAACTGGAATGAGTATAGCACTGAGCCTTTTAGCACTAAAACAAAAGAGACCAAATGCCAAATACGTTTTATGGCCCCGTATTGACCAAAAATCTTGTATCAAATCAATTGTTACTTCAGGTTTGTGTCAGATTTTTTTCCCAGTTTAATAGCTGTTTAGTGTTACTTTCAACTTTCATCTCAATGAGACTTACTTGCATGAACATGTTCTGTGGGGAAGTTGTTCTGGATTGTAAATCTTATCATTTTAATCTGCTTATTAACATACAAAGCGAAAAGAGTACAACCATCTAGAAGCATGTATTTGTAGTATGTTGGCTCTCATCTAATAGGCAAGAGTTTTTGGTCTTGACCCCTATAGGTTTCTGAGATGAAGTAAAACATTTGTCTAATAAACAGCTAACAAAAGAAACAATGTTACTGTTTATTAGGTTTTGAGCTGGTTGTAATTGAAAATGTGCGAGAGGGAGATGAACTTAAAACAAACTTAGAGGAAATCCAGAAGAAAGTTCAAGAGCTGGGACCTATGAATATACTGTGTATTCTGACTACAACCAGCTGTTTTGCACCTAGAATTCCAGACAAGTTGGTTATACTTTCATTATGTTAACAACGAGAAGAAGTATTTGATGTGTTTGTGAATAGCTCTTGAGAATTTTAGGAAATTTACTGATGTAAATTGAAAGATTGTTTAAATACATGTATTATAAAACTTTTTTAGATTACGGAGACACTTAAACCTCTCTATTATTACAAATATGTGACTACTGGATAAAAAGTGATCAGATTAGACAATATGCCTTATTAGACAATATTTTGAACAATTGAATTATCTAAAAGGGACTACAATTTACATTGTATTAGACAAGAATTTGGAATACACATTCACTGTGAACATCTAGATTAGAGAAGTTTTACTGTATATATGCTGATATTTTAGATTAACATGCTTTTCTTATTGTTAAGTTTATATTTTTTAATATCAGGTTAGAGGAAGTAGGGGAGATATGTAAGACACAAGACATTCCACATGTAGTGAACAATGCTTACGGTCTGCAGTGTTCCAAGTGTACCCACCTCATACAACAAGCAAGTATCTATACAGTTAAAAAATATACTATATCTTTAAAAGAAAGTGAGTAACTTTTTACAGTTACTGTATTATTTGCTCTGCTGTGTATTTTCTAGTCCTTTTGTATGTTACTCACTTTAATGACAGTCAATAACAATTGCTAGATGTAAGTTTGAACAGATTTAAAAAAAAATAAATGTACATGTAACATCAAAGCTGAACAAGTATCTCTTAAAAGACATTCTTAACTAATATATGAAACTGTAATCAAAAGGATACCTATACAAAGATGTATTTCCAACACAACAGTTTAACACATGATGATGATGAGTTAATTGTATTGTACTTGTTTAACACTTCAGGCATCCAGATCCAGAGTAGACATATTTGTCCAGAGCACAGATAAGAATTTTATGGTACCTGTGGGAGGGTCAATCATAGCAGGATTTGATGATCAACTCATACGATATATCAGCAAGTCTTACCCAGGTATAGTAGCCCTACATCCCTAGCACAAGGCATATAAAAAAATCATAAATATTGGGGTCACCTTTTATCCAGGTATATATTAAGCACTTTATCCCAGTACAAGGAACACTTTATCCCTAGTACAAGGAACACTTTATCCCTAGTGCAAGGCTTGTAACAAATAAATATTGGGGTCTACTTTTACCCAGGTATCGTCCCTATCACAAGGCAATGTACTAATCATAAATATTGAAGTCCACTCTTCGTTTCCTGAAAGTCAGTGTCATCTTTGAAATCAGACAGTATTACTCAGGTATATTATCACTTAAGGGGGCCGACTATAGTTTTATTGTGTGAAAACTACAGTAGCAAAACTCTTCATTTTTATACCATATATAACTTACATTAACTTCAGTGTACATGCAAAGTTTGGGGAAAATCTACCATCCAGGTATTTTTAAAGGGACCGTCTCAAAGTACAGGTACATTTACTATAGGATTATATAGGAAAATGCCAATTTTTAGCACTTTAAAGCGAATTATACAAATATTACAATAGACATTTTGTTCAAACTATAATATTTTATGAGTAATACTATATGAGACAATATATGTAAGAAACACAAAATTCTACCGTCTTGTTAAGAGAGGGGGCATCTCAAAATGCAACAAAATTAGCAAATTTTACTATTTTTATAGAGTTCTACAAAATACTACGTAAACAATGGATTCACAAGAAAACATAATAAAGGTATTAGAGATATTCTCAAATTTTTATGTTTTAAATTTCAAGAGCGTATGTTTATTACTTTTTCTGTAATAATATTTTTATTACTCCTTTCTTTAAGAGCTTCAGATTACCATAATGTCAAAAACACACTGAAGCAACGTTAATCTACTTATCAATTGCAAACTCGGTTAAAAAATCAGTTATATAAAATTGTAATTACATTTTTATACCAATAATTTCTTAATTTTGTTTAATTTTCATAATTAAGTGAAAAACTGTTTAAATAAATACGCTTCATTTTACTAATCGCGAAATATTACGCAATGGTATATTATCACTTAAATCCCAGCACTAAATATATAGAACAGATCATGAAATTTGAGTCCATTTTTCACTTTCTCATAGTTACATGCTTTAAAAGTAAATGAGAGAAACTGACAACTGGAGATTTATTCAAATACAAGGGATACATTTATGAATTAAATCAAATGTAAAGGATACATGTACATGTATGAAACAAAGGGAACATTTCTCATTAGGTAATGACCTGTAATTTCTAAGGGTATTATTCTATTTATAGGTAGGGCCTCCTCTTCCCCCTCCACAGACCTCCTGATCACCCTCCTCAGTATGGGGGTCCAGGGATACAAGGACCTCCTGAAAGAGAGGAAAACAAACTACAAGACTCTACAGACCAGGCTCAGTGAATGTGCTCAGAAGCACGGAGAGCGTTTACTTGCAACATCTCACAATGGGATTTCTATGGGTGAGCAAATTGCTCTTCTAATTACCTCAGTATTAGGTGCTGCTAAAAACATTTTTAATCTGTCAATGTTATTTTTTCTTTTTTATACAGTGTATTTGTTTTTCAGAACTTATGTTATTTAAATGTTGATGATATTTATCAAATAGAGAATGCCAAGGGGAGTATAATTAGAGACTTAAATAACTCAAAAAATATTTAAACTCGAGTTTTTATTAATAAGTTATTTATACAAGGAGATAGCTTCTTTTTGATTTACTAACATAATACATAAAAATTCTGTGTATGTGTGTATGTAACTTAACAAATTTGAATAATTAAAAATTAAAATATCTGCTATTGGAACTGTTCAATATACTGTTTTTCTGCTTTGCATATATATTTAAGTGTTACTTTACATGCATGTATACCCTTATTTAAAGGATATAAGTATTGGGTTTTAATTTAACGACTCTTTATCAGCAAAATCAGGAACACATGGTTATCTCCCTTTGAGATTAATGTATTTTACCACATGTATTTGACCAAAATGACCTTCGTTTTCAGGTATGAGCTTATCAACATTCCAGTGCAATGAAGAGAGTGTCACAGACTTGGGCTCAAAACTCTTCACAAGACTCGTGTCGGGAACAAGGTAACATGTTACTCTCTATGTTATGCAATCAGAAGGTCACATAGGGATTATGTACTTTAAAATTTGTAGGAAGTCTAAAAGTTTTGAAAAGTTTTGAATAATTACCAGGGTAGTACATTTTGGGTGGGCTGGAAGAGGAAAATAAAACTTTTTTGTAGCTGTAATTTTATCTGATTTCGGATTGTAAAAGTGTTTATATATGATCTTCTTTGATAGACATACATGTATACAAGCCTAGGGTGTTTGTAATTTTGGATGAAATAGGCACACATTCTAAATGAATGGGAGTTGAATCATTTTGTCAATGCTAGTAAATGATCTCTCTGAAGAGCTAGCTAATTTAATATCAATGGACTAATTACTCTTACTAATGTTAAATTTTGCCAAAAACATAGACATACATGTAAGAGCACATTGATGCTTTCAGACCTACATTCATTCTTGTTGGAAAGATTTTGTGGACAGCTGAGTTTTCTTTAAACCATTTATTTTCTTTTCTAAAGATTTGGTTTCGTCATACTTGAAATACATGAATATTTTGATATTAAGTACCAGTACATGATTTTCAAGGAAAAGTTCTTAGTACCTAATTTCAAAATTAACATTATCTGCCACCATTTACTCTATGACATGATCTCTGATTATATTCAAATTTGGTTACAAGAATAAGTAGTTTGCTTAATAAAAGCATGCTCAGCTATAACAAAGTGTTTAGAAATCCCATTAGAAGACTCTCTATGCTCATAATACAAATACTAAGAATATTAAGTGTGATGCAGAAGTTGAGGTCATAATGCAAAGACTTACTCTAGATGATTCATTTCTTCTCTTAGTACCAGTAAAAGGACTTTATGTGGTAATGACCAATATTTGCCTCCAAAATCAAACTTTGATGGAGAAATATATAATTATGTTTTATAATGGGGATTTCTGCAGAATTCAAAGCACGGAATATTGTCATAATCCATGGCATCATATGTTTGATGTGATGTCGGGAAAATGACGTAAGTTTAAAATTTCCATGATTTTTATTAAGATGGTGTATATTATATCAATATTTTTAGCAAAAATCACTGAGTGCAGGTCTGCTCAAGCTCAATATTTTGATATAATGTGTAGAGTGATAATATAAATGAAATGTGTAAATATTGTTCCCGAGCAAACCTGAGCTGTATAAAAATTGAGCAAATTTTGAAAATTTTTTCCTCTTTTTAAAATATAATAGAATAGTTTGTGACGTCATCTGGTCATAAAAACAAAAATTGTCAATAACCTACTTTAATTGAAACTATAATATTTTTTGTTAATTTAGATTTCTCATACAATATATACAATTTAGCACATTTCAAGAAATTTTCAAAATATGACTTTTCTGGGGGCAAAAATATGCAATATACCACTTATAGTTCTTTAAAAAGATTGTAACAAGATTTTCCTTCAGCCTTAGATAAAAGTTCATGAAAACATATCACACTTTGGTAACTTTTACAATCACTTTTATCATTAGGGTGATTCCTGCAGACGGGAAAAAGAGTGAGATTTGTGGGCAGACTTTCACAAGTTTTGGAGCCCACTGTGATGACTATGGGTCGCCATATTTGACAGCTGCGGCAGCCATTGGCATGACCTCTCGTGACGTGGACTTGTTTATTACAAGACTAGATAAAGTTCTGTCCAAATGTGCCAAAGCTAAACAGTCTAGTCATGTAGAGTCTTGAGCTATGATTTACAAATGGATGAAAAACATTAGAGCATTCCTTTTCATTTTAACGAATAATCGGTGGTTTTAATTTCAAAGAGAAGCAGGTTGTGTTATGATTAAATTGCTCTTTACAACAGAAGTATCCTTTTACTTTTTGTTTTTATCTTACTTAACTTAGTACTTGAGCTGAAAACTTAAGTGAGCTTTTCTGATTGAAAGGTGACTAATGTCCATCTGTCCTGTGTTGTCTGTAAGCACTTCATATTCTCAACTTTTTTGGAATTCTAGGCCACTTTGAAAATTTGAACCAAACCTGCCATAAAGTATTTAATTTAAGAAATTTCATTCAAGAACATTCTATGTGTATTGCATAAGGGATATCAAACCTCGTACTGACATGAGCTGTACTTGTTCTAGAGTAGGATTTCCCCCATAGCCAGCTTTCCCCCCAGAAATCGTACTCTAGAGTAGGATTTCTCCCCCGAGGGGAAATCTTAGAAGGATTTCCCCCTCGAGGGGAAATCTCACACCAGAGCCAAATTTCCCCCTCTTTCTATCTCAGAGTAGGATTTCCTCCCTCATTATAGAGTCTATTTAAACCACAGCTGCAATATTTTTGTGAAAAAAAGATAAACGACTAACTGAATTTTAAAAGGTAAATGAGTGATTTTATCGACTTATATTGTAAGAATTTTCTAAACGTATATTTCAAATCATGGAATCTCAACCAAAATATATAGCTTTCAAATGAAATGTAAATACTCCCAGAATATGATGAAACAAAAAAAAATATGGATGTCTGGATTTGTATATATATTTGGACCTATTTTGGTTGTAAAAGATTACAATAATAAACTGTCAAAATATTTCAAATTTCCACCTTTCTGTAACCATCTTATTAATCTACCAATATCTTCAGTCGTTTAGAAAAAAACATTGCGGAAAACTGTTGAAAAGGTCGTAATGTCTTTAAAAATTTAAATGAAGTGAAATGCAACCTTGAATTTTAACTCTTCAAGATATACTCCTTTACCAAAATCTGCTCAATGTCTTCGAGCATTTAGAAAAAAAGTGCGGAAAACAATTTGGGACACACAGACAGACAGAAGGACAGCTAGACGGATGGACAGACCCAGAGGAAACTTAAAGTCTTCTCCAGTTACATCAATTTATTTGATTAAAAAAAATAGTTTGACGGTAGCTAAGAAAAATCGGATTAAAATTTTCATGTTCATTTTTCGTATACATATGTTTAATATATCTAGTCACTATTTTGAAGAAGGAACACTTGTAGCAATGTGCCAAGCATTCCTCCTCAAAAATAAGTACAGCAATTATATTTCATTTGGGGGGGTTGGCTCTGGGGGTAATTGCACTCTATAACTACTGCACAGAGTAGGATTTCTTCCCGGAAAATTGACTCTGGCGTGGGATTTCCGTAGGAGAAATGCCCAGTTTTCCTGGGGAGAAATCCTAATCTAGAGCCAGTTTTCCGGGGGGGGGGGTGATTTTAGGGGAGAAAGCATACTCTACAAGACCGGTAATTCTTTCAATAATTATTTAACTGGAACTTTTAAGATCTTTATCTGAAATTCAACAATAAAGACTTGGATACCGAAAAAGCAATTCAAAATATAAAATAAAAATAAAGATTCTTTACAAAAAGGCAAAGGGGGAGAAACTGACAGACAGACTGAGATGAAACTCATATCTTCATTTAAAGTGGACTTGTATTCATTTATCTGTTAAAATCTAACAGTTAAAAATAACTTGCTGATGCTAAATACAATCCATCGTTACATGGGCGTAACAATGAAACATAATCAGATTATAGATGTTTGAAGATAAAAATAAACGGAATTTATAAAAGGACAAGAAAATAGATAACATTGGGAGAATGAAAAATCAAGGGGTTAACATTTTACAATGTGATTGTGTTTATTAATCAAAAGAGAGACAGAAAGCAAGTCGCACAGCCAAAAATGTATACGAGCATGATAAAATTGGTAATTGCTCAAAAGACATCTAATGAGTCAAGATTTTTGATGTCCAGTCAGCCTATTATCACACCGATAGTTTTATCTAAACAAAAAGGTTTTCCTGGTGATTTTTAAGACTAGAATTTAGCGGTTTCAACAGTTCAGAAAAAGCACGTAACATGCGTAAGCAATTTCTATGGAAAGGTATTACATGAATTGCTATTTCTAAATTGGCTTTTCCAACTTCAGTCATGACTTTTACATCTTTGTTAATGCTTCATGAGTTTGTAGTTAAAATCATGTTGCCGTTGTACAATTAAAAAGGAGAAGAAATGAATTGTTTCGAATTATTATAAAAAATTTTAATTTTTGATTTTAATCGTGTTTTATATGAAGAACCGATAAATTTAGTACACTTCTTTTTAGCAAGAAAAATAGTGTTAATTTATCAATGTGTATATCTATCAATTTTATCAATTTGATTTTAAAAATCAAACACCTAATGCACTATGTTTGTTTAAAATCATTCTAAAATATATGTATGTCCTAGTTCGATTTCTTTAAAAGGTATAGTTGAAATGCTCTTGATTACAGAGTTGTATACATCATCCTCTATAAAATTATTTGAGATGGATGAAGAAAAATAGGCTTTTAAAGTTGAAAGTTATCTGAAAAGTAATATGAAAGACCAAGGGCAAAAAAATTTACACAGTTTACTGGCAATAATAAAGTTGATATTAAATAAACGAAAAAAGGCTAAGGGAAATTTAGAATTCTCATTTTTTAAGTAGGGAAAACCATCTTGAAGATAAGGCCTACATGTGTAGATAAGTGTGTGAATAACCAATTTTAAAGTTGAAAAAAATAAAATAAATTTTTAAAACCGACATTTAATTTGAAAAACAAAACTTTAAAGTTTGAGAGCCAGACGTATAATTACACATGTATAATAACTAAATTTTAAAAAGTTTTAAAAAAGTCAAATTTAAGTTTGAAAAGCGAAGATTAAAGTTAGAAAATTCTACTTAAAAGTTGAAAAAGCAGAGATTGAAGTTGGAATTACCAACTTTGGAGTTGAAATAACACTGTAGTACGTGAAACAACTTTATTTTTGATAAAGCCAACTTTTTTTTGAGTTAATAAGAGGCCAACTTAAGTGTTGGAAAAACAAAGATAAAATTTTGAATCCATATAATTTTAATTTCAGCTAGAAAAACCAAGAAAATACTTTGAATCATTAATTTTAATGTTGAAACTATCAACTTCAAAGTTGGAAATATCAATTTCAAAGTGAGAAGAACTTAGTCTAACTAATTTTAATGTTGAAACTATCAGTTTCAAAGTTGGAAATATCAATTTCAAAGTGAGAAAAACTTAGATTTAAGTTGGAATAGCCAACTTAAAAAGTGGACTTTGATAATGAGGAAATTGAACTTAAGCTCGGCATTTTTTCTGCTACATATATACATATATGCTCGTATGTTTTCACTTTCGAACAAAGAAAGACTTAAATTGTTCATATGAATTGAGTGAAAGTACGCAAAATATTTGTACTGTATGTACGATTGCCTTATTCCTTACACCTTGGTGCATTCTAGACAATCGCATACATGTGCAAGTAAATGTAGGTATCCTACCTACATGCATTTTACAATGAAATATAGGGTTACAAAAAGGGAAATCTACTGTTCTTGTTTGTGTATTTAAGCATTATTTTTTGTCTGAGACTTTCAATTTCAAACAAGTACTGTAAATATTTTCTTCCTCTGATTGCTCTGAAAGGTACATATGTCCAAAGATAAAAATGTATTATAATATTTTTCCATCTCAAAGCGCTCAGAATCACGTTAAATTCTTAGAAAAACAACAAAGTAAAGAACATCACAAAAATTTGTTCAGAGGTTTTAAAGATGCATGTACATGCTCTTATTTTTTTCCCAAATTGTTCATTTGACAATTTTCAGCACTTAGTAATTCCTTTCGTCAATTTTAAGAATTGCATAAAATGTAAAATTCTCTTTTATATACATATATAAAATCACCCTAAATATTTCATTTTTTTATTTGAAAAATTAATAACTTCTGCCTTACAATCTGATTAAAAAAGATTTGTTTGTGTAAAATCCATGCTGACGGTTGAAGATAAGATTTTAAATTGTAATTCAAACTCTATGATACCCAAAGTAAGATAATAAGATATTGTAAAGCAAATATCTGTTGAATAAAAAAGCCCTAGCACCAATCATTCAAAATTTTTCATCAAGGTTTAAGTTTTTAAAAAGTAGGTTAAACTTCAAGGTCAAGGGCAAATGTCAATAATTCATGGTACCAAGGGAATGTCTTATAGATAATACATTTGTGCAATATAAACGCCCTTTTTTCATCAACTGGTTAAAAGTTATGGCCACGGTAAATTTTACGAAAGCGGTCCAAATTTCAAGGTCTTGGTTAAGAGGTCAAATATCTTGATACCAAAAAAAAGGACTTGTCACAAGAAATACATCTGTAAAAAATGAAATCATAGTTCCAACCCATCAAAAGTCATGGGCAAGGTAAATGTTTTTCGACCAAACAAACAGGTTAATATACCGAAAGACAAACAGACAGACAGACGGATATGTAGTGCAAAAACTGGAAAAGACTTGCTGTTTTTTATCTTTGGAAAACTTACAAAACAATTTTTTCATGGATGGCAAAAACAATTTTATACAGTTGATTCAATTTTTTTGGTCAAGAAATGCAATTACAACCCATAAATAAAATTTTAAATAGTAGTAATCATGTAGTGTTTAAAACAAGAGAAGAAATTTAGCGTCAATTAAATTGATTTCAGACTTTTTAGAGTGTTTTAGTGTAGGTAGTACACGGCCTTTTCCTTGTCAATTTATCATACCTTTTATCGCATTAATGTTGCAGTTTAAATGCATTTCACAATCTCTTCATGGTTATCAGAATTCGAAAAACTATAACGGTTACCATCTTGATAAATTTGTAACCATTTTATTAAGATACTTTGTTCATCACATGCCGTCTCATATCGAAGTGTCAGTTTTCTTCATTTCTTACGGATGCCTTAGTAAAAATTACGATAATTTGTTCATCATATGCCGTCTCATGTCAAAGTGACAGTTTTCTTCATTTCTTACCGATGCCTTTGTAA